GGTGTGGATGGCGTGGACGCTCTGGACACAGCCCCCCACACTAACAAGAGCGGCTATCATGACGACTCAGATGAGGTAAACCATTTCTTCCGGAGGGGTGGGCCACAAGTACAAAACAGGAGTGTTTCTTTTTCTGTTTATAATCAAGATCTGACTGAGGCAAAGGAGGGTAAAAGCCAGAAGCAGCAACTTAATGACTGTGAGAGTTGGCCAGCCCAGCAACTAGGTCATAACTTTCAAAATAGGAACTTTTTAGTGTGTAAATAATACGGTCTCTGTTTTTCTTCTCAGGACCTCCTGGAATAGCTCCTCCAAGGAGCTGGGACCGAGGACAGATGATGGAACCGCAGTACCTCTCACACTCCCTGTGGCTCCGTATGGGGGGAATAAATTTCCCATTGCGAGGGACCCAGCTCTGTTTCTGCTGCTTCCACCAAAGCCAAAAGGACCTTCACTAAAGAAATGCAGGGCGGGGGGTGGGGGGAACCCTAAACACTCTCATAATTGGCCCTGAGAAGGGGGGGGTAATTTTTAATTCTTTAACTTTTTATTTCAAATTCTTTTTGCAAAGTATGGGTTCTTTTGGTTTTGTTTTTGTTTTTTAAGGGAAACGAAATGGAATCAGAAGGGAACGTTTCACTAACCCCACTCTCGCATGTTTTGCATGGCGCCTGCTTCAGGGCTCCTGCCAACCCCAGCATCAATGTTCACAACGCACCCGGTGCTGTCCCTGGGCTCTGCCGGCGACACAAAGCAGCTGCCGAGAGGGACTTGGAGGCTGCAATGACTGGCACGGCCCGGGCAGCCTTTCCCCGGCCAGGGACAGCCCTGCCCCGAGAACACTGCACACCAGCTCCTCACACACACCCTGCCTTTTCTTTCTTTCTTTTTTGGGGACCGTAGACCACAGTGGTGTTTCTTTTCCCCTGTTTAATCGGGGAGTATACCCTTGTCAGTTGCCCTTTGACAACTGACTTAACCATGTGCTTCTAAGACACTAAATCAGGAAAACTTAAAGGGCAATATTTTTAACTTGGGGCAGGAAGAAGGGAGCAGCAGAGAATTGACTAGATTTAGCACCTATTAAAAGACAAATTCTTGCTTCTTCCAAGATCTTTCCAACCGTGCTTCATGTTTGTGCCAGTGGATTTGCTCAAGGACAGGGTTAGGGCTTGCCCCGGATGTCTGCCCAGGCCAAGTGACCTCTTTGCTAGAGCCGAGGGAGGGCGCCCAGTGTGGCCCCTACGGACTGAACATCACACAGTCTTCCATGTCCTCTGCCACCTGTTGGCACGGCGGTGAATCATCAGGATGGCCGTTTACTTGCGTGCCTCCTCCTGGATTGCTGTCGTACATGGAGCCAGGACTAAACACGTTTTCAGATTTATAGGCTGTTTTTTTGAAAATCAGGACTTTATTACCAGGCTCTCCTCCTCACCCATTTTTCCCAGCTTTGCCAAGGAATTTGTTGCCGTGAAACTTTTGGCCGAACCAACTGAAGACACACTTCCAGTGTAGGTGATGTTTTGTGTGATACATTAGGTTCGTATTTTAAATTTAAGGAAATTTTCCATTTGACACTTTTAAAATTAAGTTCACGGTAGAATGTAGTGAGGTGGATTTGAAGATGGCCATATAGTAGCGGCGAGCTGCAGTAGTTAGTTTTCATACGGCTTGGATGTTTGCTCGCCAGGAATATAGCATGGTACAAGCTTGGTCTTAGCATCCCTACTGTGCTGGCCACAGTTTCACCCAGTAATTATGATTGGGACATTCTTTGGTAACTGCCATTTTGCTGCTCGTTCATTTTATGGCTGTAAAGTCACAAAAAAGTAAATGTGCCAAATTAACTTTTGTCAGAATGAGTGAGCAGATGGCCGTGTTCTCTCCTCCCCAGAATGGATTAACAGCAGCAGGGAAAGTGGGAGAGGGGGTGGATGGAGAAGGTTAGAGACTTTGAAGCTGCAGGAAAATTAAATGAGTCAGGGAGCCCTAGTTAGAAAATAAAGTTAGGGCAGTTTTTGTGAAGAGGATTCATATTTGCTTGAGCTAGAGAGCACTGGTCTTTTAGGAAAAGCTCATTCATTTGACCGGCTCACAAACGATGAAGTGTCAGCCTTTGTCCCAGACACCCTCACCTCCTGTCCAAAGTGAATTTGATGCCCAGAAAAGACCCACTTCTGCTGCACACCTTTTGCCCACGGCATGTACGTGTTACCCGTTGGAGTACCTGTGCCAGTATGCAGTATTTCTCTGATTCATTTTAGGATGTAGGAAAGTTAGTATTCTGTAACCAAGTATGGTTAAAGCTCTTTGCTTATAATGGTATCTGGGATTTCTGTAAAACCTGGCAGCTTTCAGAGGACTTCATTCGCAGTATGTCATTTGAACCTTACCACATCCTCAGTGAGATTCTTCCTTTGAAGGCAGGGGTTTGTAATACGCATTTTTAGGGGATGGAGCTGAGATACAAAAAGTGAGTAAATTGTCCAGGGTCCCTGTGTGTGATGAGCAGTGCCGGTTGTCCATTGGCCGTCTTCAGGGCTCACGACCTTGTTATGCGTGCAGGTGCTGGATACCTGGAGCGGGAAGGGCTTCTTTCTTCTGGATGATTTGCTGTTCTTTAGGAGAAGGGTCAGTGGCATTTCTGTCAGAGCAGCGTGTGAAGCCTTTTTGTCACCTTGGTAAACGGCAAGTCTTATTCTCCTGTTCTTCACGGCTGAAAACACACATGAATGGTGATTTTGAATATGTGGTTAGAAACTGCCCCTCACCTCGTTGCGGGCGTGGGATCTCCCTTGATGAGCCACCCCTCTCCATTCTCCTTGTTTGCTCGGCCCTGGTCGGCTAGCTAGCTAGTTCCCGTTGGCTGGAGGACTGCCAACAAGCCTGGCTCATTCCCTTCATTGGCTAGTTAGCTTTCCATATCAGCCTGCTCACTCAGAAATGTATGCCCTCAGCCAGAAAGCATAACAGCCTAAATCCATGATAGCTTATGAGGGAAGACAAGTTCTAATTTGTTCTACTGATGTTAGGTTAGGAGCATTATCTTTGCGTAAAGTATAGCTTACCATTGTGTAATAAAATCCCAGGCTTGATGGTAGCAGGAGAGATTATTGCTGGAGATTTCAGTGATAGAATTTAGCATTGTAAGATAAGTTGGACATGTCAGACTGTCCAGAGTGGTCTGGGCTTTTAAATTCAGGTGGAGAACTCACCATCCCTCACCTGTGACAGGTGTCTTGGACCTAAGGGGGGGTTCTTGGTTTTTAGTGGGTCCAGAGACCAGGGATGCATATACCGAGGCTGGTGATTGAATGGGAACACCACTTTGAAGAATCAAAAGTGTTTGGAGGGTTCTGGCAGTTCTAAGCTGGGCTCAGGAGATTCAGTAGATTAGTTATAACTGAAATTGAGAACTTGCCATCTGCCTCTAACTAGGCTTTCCAGCGTGTACCTCTCTAATTCCTAGGTTTGCCTTTGGGCCTCTACATGCCCAAGCTGGCCTTTCATCCCTGACAGATGAGTCAGGTGCTGGCCACCTCCAGCTCCTGCACCGGCTCTATAAAGCGCAGCCGGTTCTTCCGTGGCCTTGGTCACAATACCAGGGTACAGAGAGGGCTGGCCGGAGCTTCAGTCAGTTCTCTGTTTCTTAGGCAAATCATCCAAGTATGGGAGGTTCTCTTTCCCTTCAGGAGAGCTCTAAAGAGCCCTGTTTCTATATACAGTGGTTTAGAGCTCATCCTGCCCATTGTTGGTACATTCCCCTCACCCCTCACCCTGGATACTTGGAACTACTAAAATAAGAGATTCAGCTTTTCAATTTTGCTACTGCCTTGCCACAAGCAGGGAAATAAACATGGACTTAAATGTCCTTTGAACAAAACCAAAGTGTAAGACTTGCCACATGACGGAGCGATAGGGAGGGCCAGACTTACCGGCACTGGCGCTCAGCAGGTGCCAGACCTTCTGTTTCATCTGCTGCCCGTTTGCCCAGCAGCTCTGGGAGCATCGTCCTGCCCGAGCAGAGCCCAGGCCTTGCCCTCATGAAGGATGATTGAAATAGCAGGACCATGTTGATTCCTTGGTTATGTCTCATTATAACAGTAAGAATCAGAACATTAATTTGAAACTGTCTTCAACAACTTGCTGTATGCATTTTTTTCACACCAGTACATTCGTAAGCATCCTTGTTTATATAGAATAACATAAACTAATCTGTACCTTTATATATATATATATGTACATATATACATGTATAAACTGTATAGTGTACATGTTAATGATTTATTGATATGTCCCAAATCTTTCATGACATTCTCATCCTCCGCATGCCCTCAGTTTGTGGTCGGGTGACTTGAATGTTCCCCGATGATTCTGCCCACCTCCCGTGTTTGGATGTCTAGGGAAGGAGGGTTTTGGTCGTACCCTCCTTATCCTCATGCACAGAAATGCTCAGGGTCCCCATGTGCCTGTTGTTCAACCCTTTCTTGTCTCTTGTCCCCTTTCTGAGCATGTGGTCCCTCCCTGTCCTATAACTTCTCTGCCCCTTCCCCAAGTTGTGGGACAGCTGCCTTCCTACTAAAGTGTAAAGCAGTATTAACATCATTACTGCATGTGCGCTAAAAACCCAAGTTTTCTGTTCCCTTGGGACAGAAAATTGCATGTGGGGTGGGATAATCAAGTTTCAGTGACCCATGTCAGTTACACAACAAAAGCCAGACCCCATTACAAAATTCCACAAAACGGAAATCAAACTCAAATTTCTTTAGCATTGTGTAAATAAATCTGGATGTGTTTAACTTTGTACTGGTAATTTTCTGTATATTTGCAATATTTGGGTTAGAAATAAAACAGACTGGACTTTGTTATCTGACCTGTTGAAATGACTAAGCTATAGTTTGTTAATATGTACAGTTTGTTAATATGGTAGATTTTCCAGTTTTCTAGCCTCAGAAATCAAACTCCAGCCACCAGAGAATAAGCCAGTAAAAGAGGCAGGACTGTGCATTTGTCACATGAGAGGTTAATTAGGTAAGTTGCGGGGGATTACTTAGTTTTTTCTTGTTCTTTCCGCTCCTAAAAGTCTACCTCCCGTGGGTATTTGTGGGGCCAGCTTTCTCGGTCTCACGCCCCACGCACCCTTTCAGTACACTGCTACACTCTTCCTTCTGGACACAGCGGCATAGAATGACTCTCCTGAGTTAGATGCTCCTTCAGGCAGGTTTGACAGACAACAACCCTGCCTCTCTCAGGTTTCTCTTGCTGTTCTTACTCCTAGCCTGCCTGATCCATTTCATTTAAGGACATTCAAAGAGCTGCCGCTTTGCTCTCTCCCCAAACTTGTGTTTTAGGAGAGGTTCCTCCCCAACTCCCTTGAACCTTTAGCTGAGCCTTGAAAATTGCTTCTCAGTCTGCCATCGTGGGTGATATTTCCAATGAATACCTACTCTGACATCATGATCTGAAGCTGAAGAGGCAAAAGATTTTGCTTCTAAGGAGCCCCGCCACCTGGCGGAAGAGTTCCTCCCCTAGGAGATTATGTATGTAATTTTATTTTCAGCAAGTCTATCTAACCTAGTGTCCTAAGACTTTACCAGAATCACTAAGGTTGCTTTTTCTGATGCAGATTCCTAGACCCCACCTAGACTCATTAAATTAGACTTCATAACGGACAGACCCTAAGAGTCTCCATTTTTACCTTGATTCTTTACACCTCTATTGCAACAAAGGGCTTAGACTGAAAGCCTAGACCAGTTTCACCAAAGGATGGGTTAAGTAGGGTGGAAAAGGGGGGTTTTGGAGTCTCCTGATGTCGGAACTCTGTACTTATAAAGTTGTTGGCTGGCTCAGGCAAAAGAAATCGGGCAGCCACCTTCACACGAATCCTGATGTGGCACCAGGTGCAGCCTCAGAGGTCCAGCCACACAGCTCCCTCTCGGCCATCCCAGCTCCTGATAAATAGGTTCCTGGGCCAGAAGTGTGTCTACTAGCTTTCCTGGCCTCAGCCCCTACACAAGTTGCAAAGGGGAGTTTCCATTGTAGCACAGGCTCCTGGGATCCTATCGACTCTGTCTCTAAATTGAGGGCTAGAGGGAAGAAATGAGTAAGGAGCTCATCCATTCAACCACATTTTTTTTTTCCATAAAAGAGGTGGTGGAAAGAAGGAAGGGGTATATGGGAACTCTGTACTTTCTACTCAACTTTGCTGTGAACCCTTTGAAGCTGCTCTAAAAATAAAGTCTTTCCACACACACACACACACACACACACACACACACACACAAAGGGGATGCTGGTTTCTGGAACAAAGAAAGTGAGGGTATGATAGGAAACCATTTGGACACAGTACAGAATGTGTAGAATGATGGCTTGGTAAGCCTAGAAATCCTATAGGACCTTTAGTATACACTTCCTATGCTCTGGCCATTTCCTTCGACTATTAGCATTTTAGCCTCAACACAGTCATGGCATCATCATCTCTGGTTTCAGAGCCCTGAGGTTCAGACTCGGTGATTTGCCCAGGGTCACCTAGCTAATGAGTGAGTAGCCCTGCCCGAAGTCACACACACATACTCTGACCTCATGCCCCTGGCTCCCCTCCACCACTGCTGCCTCTCGCTTTACTGGTACTTTATCTCAGAGGCAAGGGAGCTCTCAGAGGGCCACGTGCTGGCCCAACCTAAAAATAGCTCCCATTTATCAAGCACTTCGCTCTACTCTGCTAAGCACTTTGCACAGATTACCTCTTCTAATCCTCACAACCACCCTATGGGCATTACCGTCTCCATTTTACAGATGAGGAAACAGACTTGAGAGAGACTGTGATGCAAGTCGCACAAGCTAGTTGGTGATGGAGCCAAAAGTGAGTCCAGGTAGTCCAGCTCCAGAGGGCAGACTCTACCTTCCCCACCACTAGGGGGGTTGGCGGAGGGGATGGGGACAGACCCTGAAAAGGGCGAGTTGACAAGACTTTACAGCTCCCTGAACACGGCACAGAGAGAGAAGGAGCCGTTAAAGGTGAAAGGTGTGCGTGTGAACCGCTGAGCCTGCTAAGCCAGGAGCCCCGTTGTATGATCTGTGTGCGCGGCCAGGGGAGCTGTTTGAAGCTCAAAGCCTACCACACACACCCCCACCCCACCCCCAGGCTGTGTGAGCAGGGCCACCTCAGTCCTCTTGCGGCTATTCTGGGCTGCTGTCTGATCTCCCTCTCTTCCCAGCCCCTACTTCAGCCCTTCTGCTGGGAGTAGCCGGGTGGGGAAAGGCCAGGCCAGTTACATAAATAAGCCCATGGCTGGGACCCCGGAGGCCAGGCTGGAGAGCAGGTGCTTAGCCCCTCCCTCACCACCAACAGTGAAAATCTCTCTCTGGAGCCCAGCCTCTGGGCAGCCCAGCATGGAGGCAGCCACAGCTCCCGAGGTGGCCTCCTCAGGATCCACACTGAAGGTGAAAGAAACGAGCCCAGCGGATGCAGAAGGACCCCCAGCTTCACCTCGACAGGAGGCCGGCAGCCCCATTCCCCAGCTCCTGTCCCCTATAGAAGGTGACCCGTGGGGTTGGGAAGGGTGGGGCAGCTGGGTGGCAGGAGTTGGGGAGGATATCCCTCACCCCCTGACTGTACCTCCTCAGGTTTGTGCAGAGGGAAGCTTCATGGGATTGGTGCCTAGGGTGGGGGAGCATTCATTGGAGCCCCCACCCCTTTGCTTGGTGGATTCTTACTTGCTGCTCATGTGTCTTTGCTGGGTTTGTGCTTTTTAGCTGAGAAGCCAGGGGATGGTGTATGTGACGCTTTCCAGCGACTAAAACTGATCTGTTTATATTTTTACCTTTAATAACATGTCTGTCCCAGGGACTGAGGACCTGATACATACTAGGACCTGATATATACCAGCCAGGAAGGGATTGAGGGGTGAGATGGTGGCTGTCTGGCTTAGAAGAGGGCAGTGAAAAACTTACAGCAACTGAGAAGCTGGTGGTGAACGGTCCATGACACTCTGCCTCTCCCTTGGCAGTGCCACAGGTCCAGGACCTACCCCAACACCCCAGCTGGCTCCCATGGAAAATCCCAGCCTCTCAGGGTCTGAGTTCCATGGAAGCAGAGCCCATCCAGGAGAAGCATTTGGCCTCCCTTCCACAGTGGTCTCTCTGGGCCTCTAAGCGAAGAGGCACTTTTGAGCCAGGAGGTGGTGGGCGCCCCTTCCAGTCCCAGGTTCCCTGCCAGCAGCCCAGCCACCCACTCCCCAGCTGCCCCTGGCTGAGGCCTCTGTCATGTTCACCTGGGGTGTCACCCACGGTGCCTGGCTTGGCCGACCAGAGGTGGAAGGCAGGAGCCAGGCGTTTCCCGTCTCATGTGCAGTAACCGGCAGAAGGAACCACGGGGGCTGCCTCAAACATTTAAGACAGTTACCTGCACAAAGTCTCTACTTTTGGCCCCTCAACATCTTAAGTGCAGGGGATGCAGAGACCACAAACAAGAAACGCATGAAACCCGAGGGTAGGGAGCAGTAGGAGAAGACGCTGTGACCTAGACTCAATTCCCAGGCTGCCTCCAGCAGCTTTGTGCCCTTGGACAAGCTAACCAACTACTCAGTTTCAATTTCCTCTCTGTAAAATGGTAATTACTAGTGTCTACCTAGTAGGGGGTTAGGAGGACTGTTGAGGTGACCCAAAGTACCTGGGAAGAGGCCAAATGACAATGTGAGTAGATAATAAAATATTTCCAAGTTAGGGGTGAAGACAGAGTTCTACCTGCAAACAGGGTTGAGTAGGGAAAGCTGGCTGCCACTCCTCATCCTCACAGGAGGCGCTGGGTTTCCAGGAGCTGTTTCAATGTCACAGGGAGAGAGCCGGCTGAGTTCCTTCCATTGAAAAAGAAGAGGTAGGGGAGCAGAGTTATTGTGAGCACACTAGGCTGGGATGGTCTTGAGACAGAAAACCATTTCTTCCGTAAGGATCCAGAGAATAAGCGACACAGGCAGAGAGAGAGTGAGAGCCGGGACTGCTGACTCCCAACTCGGCTGATCTCCCTCCATAAGACCCTGGGGGAGGTCATCATCCGTCTCCGCCACGCTCCTCCCTCTGGCTGTGAGTGGGCACTCTGGGCCATCGCTCCTGACAGCCCCCCGCCAGCCCCAAGTGCAGCCTCACCGCCCCCCGCGCCAGCAGCTCCACTCATTAGCATCCCAGAGGTCAGTGAAGGTAAGCAGTGCTTGTGATAGTTTGCAAAATATGTTTGCATCTTATCTGCTCAGAGAGGACAGGGTCCTAGCTCTGTCCTGTGACCCTAGGAAAGTCATTGCACCTCTCTGGGCTTCCATTTTTTCATCTGTAAATTGAAGGATGACTTTTTGATGGCTGTGGACCCCTAGGAAAATCTGATGAAATCTGTAGACTCTTATCCCAGGAAAAATGCTTAGAAAATGTTCAGGGGGCCCACAGAACCCCTGAAGCCCATTCAAAGGTCTTTCAGGGTGCCATGGACCCAGCCTAGATGGTCCCTATGTTCGCGTGAGCTCTAAGGTCTTTTTCTTCCTCTTAACCCCTCCTGTACCTCGTGGAGAGCACCGCCGGACCCAGAGGAGCACTGCAGTGAGCGTGCATGTGCACAGGAAACGGAGCAGGCACCAGGGGCAGACGTGCATTTGCAACGTCAAAATAAATTGTAACTGGCCAACATGAGCTTTTAGTCAGGAAAGCCTGCTATGTGGCTACAAGATGAGCAGACATAGGCGGCCGGCACTGGGAAACAAGTTTCCGTCTCCCCTCAGCACTGTACGGAGGCACTGGGTCCTGCAGGCAGCGCTGGGTGGGAGGCTGGGGGGCAGGCTGTACCCCTGCCATGGAGAAGAGGAGACCCTGAGACCCAGAGGAAGGGCCCAGCTGCTGCTTTCAGAATAACTGCGTCTGTTTTCAATCCAAACTCTTCTGTGTCTTCCAGCCTTGGGAAGCTGGAGCCCATGCCTGGGAGCAACCTTCCTTTCCTTCTTCCTTCTTCCTGCTTTCCTCCATCCTTCCTATCTTCTTTCTTCCTCCTACAAATATTTCTTTTATGCCTATCATGTGCCACACACTGCTAAAGAAATAAAAATAGGCAAAAGTAACTCCCCTTGTGGAGATTACATTCTAGTGTAAGGAGATAGATAATAAATAAATAAAATATGTAAGATGTCAGATGTGATAAACGCTGTGCCGAAAAATGAAGCAGAGAGGGAGGGCACAAAGTGCTGGGGGTGGGAAACATGTCGGCAGTTTTAAACAGGATATTCAGTGAAGGTCCCATTAATTAGGTGCTATTTGAGCAGCAACTGAAAGGAGATGAGAGAACAATGCATGCAGATACTTGGAGGGAATGTCTTCCATGCAGAGAGAACAGTCTGTGCAAAGGCTCTGAGGCAGGAGTGTGTGCCTTATGGGTTGGGGCCACTGGGCCTGTTGCAGCGTGAGGAAGAGAACGGTAGGTTTGCCGGCAGAGAGGTAGCAGGACCCTTGTGAAGACTGGTTCAACTCTGAGACTGGTGGGCAGCCTGGGCAGGGTTTTAAGTGAGAAACTGACATGGTCAGCTATAGGGTTTAAGGATTCTTCTAGCTGCTGAGCTAAGAATAGGCTGTAGGCAGGCCTGAGACACTAGCAAGATCATCAACTAAGGATGAGGACGAGGGAGAAGGTGTGGAGGTTTTAGAAGAGGGAGGTACCCAATAGTCACCTGGGAGAATAGGAGGCAGAGTGGACTAGAACTGCCAGGGGCCATTTGGAGTTACTAGTCACTGCTCATGGCCATCAGCTTACTGTCAGCCTCGCTTGTGTTTTTCCCCAGCGTGCGGATGTGGGCACTGAGTGGGTGGAAAGCATGTCACTGGGGTTGGCCATTGCTAGGAGAGTGCAGTGGACAAAAAGAGGAGTAAGGAATTTGAGTGGGGACACAAGGGAGGGAGTGTAATGACTGGAATCTAAGGTGGGTGGGAGAGAGAGTGGTAACAGAGAGGGTGACAGGGAGTGAAGGGGTAGGAAGACAGGGGATCAGAGGTCTCAGTGGTGCTGAAGGATGGCTGGTAGCTGGAGCGGCAGAAGGGGAGCACTCTAGGGACAGAGGCTGTGCTCGTTGGGGTTTGCCGGTTGATGTAACAAAGAGGCCTCAGAACTGAAGGCTCAAAAACAGTAGTTGTTTATTTCTATGAAAAAGCTTCTGTTTCTATTTATTTCTATTAAAAACCGTTCTCCATGCAATGATTCCAGGACCCAGGCCTCTTCCCTCTTGTGGCTCTGCTGTGCCTCAGGGCCCTGTACTCAGCCACGTGGCTGCAGCTAGCAGAAGAGGATATAGAGAACGCATTTCTTAAAGGCCTTGGCTCAGAAGTGATTCTCATCATTTCCACTTGCACTTCATTGGCAAGAGCTAGTCTGATGGTCCTATAGCGAGGGGGCCAGGGCAGCCCCTTCCCAGAAGGTGCTACACTGTGGAAGAGACAGTATGCATTTGGGCAGGCAGTTAGCCACCCTCTGTCCTAGAGGTGAGGAGAGAGTGAGGCGCTTGAAATTCAGATTACAGGGGCTGCAGTTACTCAGCTAGAGAATGACGAAAGGAACCAGGGGCTAGAGCCAGAGAGGACGACACTGCTGGAAGAGGGGTGGGCATAGACGTGAGGGGCTCTGCAGGGACTGGAAGCGGGGGCGAGGGGGGGGGTTGAGATCACAAAGATCCAGAACTGCACTGGAGAGAGTGGCTGTCACACAGCAAGCGTGATGGGGAGGACCACCCCAAAGGAAGGGTGGCGGATCTTCTCAGACAGCAGTTGCCTGTTTCTATGTCCTTCTATTTTTTCCTGACCTTAGTTTCACCGTCTTCAAGAAGGTGACACTCCTGTCCCACAAGGTACTTTGGAGGTCACCCTTCCTGTGACCTCCTCCAGGCAAGTTTCTAATAAGGCCAAGTCCACAGCCTGTTTCAAAGCCATCGCTCACCTTGTGCATTTGCCCTGTGTGGGTAGCCATTCACTCACACAGGCCAGAGCACACACACACACATGCGCATACTCTCACCCCCTTACACACATTCATGCACACCCTGTCACACACACACTCTATCTCTCACACTTGCACACGCACACACACACACAGCTCCCTCCCTTCTTTTGATGTGTCTGTCTTGTTCCTTCACTCTCCAGGCCATAAGTAATAACATCAGTGTGAACTACATGGCACTTCAGGAATTGCTGGAGGACAGGCTTTAACTGTGTAAAGGGAAATTTTGAGAGAATATGAACGTCTGTTTCCCCATGAGCACAGAATAAGGAAATGGGCATAAACTTCAGCAGAACTTAGGGTAGAATTAAGAGGAAATTTCTAATCAAGAGGAGTCAAGATCTTTGGACTTTAAGTAGTCTCCTTCTCTGTTCATTTTAAAGAAAGAATTAGACCACATTCTGTCTGAGGGAAAGACGACCCCACAGGTCAGAAGCCAATGTCTCTCAAAGGACTTTTTGTTTTCAAAATGCCTTTTCCCCTACACTCCATGAAGGGAGAAAACCAAATTGTGGCTGTCTGAA